TAGCCGTTGAGATGTTTACAGAATGCCAATCACCCAGGCACTGAGGCACTGGAAAGCTCAAGGGCAGGCAGTGAGAGTCAAATGCAATCTAATTCACCTGCCACCGCATCAAAATGCCTGGCCTGGGTCAGCTCCAGGTTGCCAGGGGATTGGGCTGGCTCCTTCAGTCAGTGACCTGCCAGGAAACAGGTTCCCTCTCCCTGATGGAGGCTGGGACAGGGTGCAGAGGCAGCAAAATTAGGTCCTGTTGGGGGATGCAGCTGAAAAGGCCCTGCAGGGCATTGCCTCAGGAGGTAGGAGAGGGGAGCCACAAGGAAAAGAAGCCAAGCCTCTCAGGTCTCCAGTGCTTTGTCCTATCAGGGTGGAAGAGGGACACACACCAACACTCTCCCAGCCTCTCATCTCTGTTTGCCTCCCCCTACCGACTTCCCTTCTCTATTGGACCCTTCACCCTCCACCTATCTTCTTGGCCAATTCTTGGAGTCCCCTCAGCCCTTATCCACTCTGCTCTCTTGGGACAGTCACCCCTTCATGTCCCTGCCACAACTTAATGTATTTAGTTTAGGTAAGGGAGGCTGTCCCGGTGCTTCCCAAGCTTGATTTTCTACCCAGGACCACAAGTGTCCATGGGCATAGCCTTAAGGGCTAATTGCATGGTTGTCTGCCCCTACACCACACCCAAGCCTTGCAAGTGTCATCACTTCACTGATGTTCACTCCATACACTCAGCCCCTCTCTGGGCTCTCTGGTCCCACTTACAGCCCCTCCCTGGGCTTGTGGACCCTCTGGTCCCCTAGGAACCTTCTCCACCTCTTTCCTTCTTAAACATCCAGACTGCTGCAGGTTGTACTTTTCGCATTGACTTTCAGGAACTGCAACCATCCAGCACAGCTGGATGCTTACTGCCTGCTCAGCTCTGGGCCTGGGCTTATATAGCCCAAGCCCTGCCCACTCCCAATCAGGTGACTCTCTCATTAGCCCTCTTCATCACCTGCAGGCTACTCCTCAAGCCACCTCACTTCTTCAAGGGACAAGCACACTAAACATCCCGCCACATAGTGTATTCCTATTATTTGCACAGCCTTTTTCCCAACAAAATTATGTAACTAAGTAGACTGGGTTAATGAACAAAATATTTTAAAAAAAAACAAGACTGAAAACAGGTGGCATAATCTCTGACTGAAATACTTCAAGCTTCTCCATGCATTTTTATGCCAGCTCTTCAAGGCTCACTGGCAAATCATGACAGCAGCTGAGGTTCAATCATATCTCATGCCCCACTGTGCCTTTACACTTGACCATGTGTGTGTGAATAATGAAAAGAAAATCCCACACATAACAATTACCTACTCTTTCTCTCAGGCCGCTAAATGAATGGCCTGATATAGCAGTGAGTGACAGGGAATGTGTTAAGTATTCCTCAAACCAGTGCAATATGCTTAATCATTTACAATTATTTAAAATAACTGAAAGCCACCTGCAGGCATTTGCCAGATGACAACATTGTTTCTGAATTTGAAACACGGTGCCAAATTGCCTGTTACAGGTGGATATCTCTTTTCACATGATGCTTAATTGTTACATTATTCAGCAAACCAAGCACTGGCTTTCCGTTTCCTAGTTTAGCTTATGCAAAAAACCAACATGCAAATAACATGGTGAAATGTAACTGAAGAGCAAATGTTTTAGTCCCACTGGAAGTATGCAAATAAACAAAATAGGTGAATAACTGGTATGTAACAATGTGGAATTAACTGGAAAATTAACGATAACAAATACCTATGCAGACCCAGATACCTGTGCACCATCACACACATGCAGACACACCTTCACCCTCATATTGTCACTTCACACATACACACGCTTACACACGTGCTTTCTCAAGACACAACTTCCATGCTATATTCTGCTGCCCCTGGATAAGGTGAAGTCAAAAATTTCCAACAAAACAAGTCACTTTATCAAAATCAAAACTTCCTACAAGAACATGTGGAAATTTTGAGCAATTTAGGGGGAAAAATTGACCCAAAGCTTTTTAATAAGGTCAAAAGGGCTCAATTTGATTGGAATGGAACACTTGAATTTTTCAAGTTATAACGCATTTTCATTTCAAAATTGACATTGGGTTGTAAGATAAATTGAAAAGATGGAATTAGAATGAAATGAAAAGACGTTGTCAGAAGGGCAGACAAGGTTCCTTGGGTGAATTTGATATCTTTTATTAGACCAACCCAAATAGTTGGAGAATAGTTATTAAGCAAGGGAAGGGAACATTTCAACTGACCCAGAGAGAATTTTTTCTTTTGAAAATTTTGCTTTGCAGAGAATTCTGGGAATGTTTGTTCTTATGTTCATCCAGAAGAAAAATGAATTTCAACCTGTCAGAATTGTCTCTGGAAATTAATTTTGAGTTTCACCCAGCTCAGCGTAGAAACAAATTCCTCTACAAAAGGGTATGATGCCTACCCTGTGACCCCCCTACCCTTCCTTCCTATGGGCATTCAGACTGTTTAGTGCCTCTGGGCCTGTTGTACTGGAAGAGAATAAAATTGAAGGGTGTTTTTAACTGAAGTTTTGTGATAGCCTTCAACACTATAAAACATCACTCAGACCCCTGTGAGATGGAGCGACACATTAATTGACATCACAGCATCTTTATGACATCACACTCTGCCACATTTTGTTGTCATGGTTACCACTAGTTTGTCCTGGTGCCCCATGACAATTGTGGCAGGTCAGTGTCACGGGCAACTTGGATTGCTGGGAGCCACGTGGAGCAGGAGGACTCTGACTGCAGTGGCCCACATACCCAAAGAGGGAGAAGTTTCTTGAAGAAAGAAGCCAAGTCCAGATCCGAGATCTCTTGGCCTGGACCCAGGATCTCCAAGCCGAGCTCCAGGGCCCCAAATCAGGCCACATACCATAAAGGTCAGCCTGCGAGGGAAAAGCTGGAAGGCAGCAGGGAAGACTCAGTGCTTTCTCCAAGGAAGCTGGGAATCTGAGGCTGCCCCAGGCCCTTTCCCAGTCTGAATCTCCGGCATCCAGCTGTGGAAATCACTTGAACACAAAGCCCAACCCAGCATCAGAGCTCGCCGAGTGGAGGAAGAGATGCAAAGTCAGATCTGAAGCCACAAGGCAGCCTCTTTCACTGCAGTGTCTTGCACTGGGCAGTGGGCAGTAAGTCAGGCAGGAAGGACATTTTCTTCAGCGAGCAGAATGACCAAGGGGAGTGCGTCCCCCCAGGCACCCTCTTGTCCTGCAACCAACCTGGGCGCAGCCAACCCAGCCTCCACTAAGCCAGACTTGGAAACAGTGGAGCAAGCTGACTCCTCCGGTCCACCCAAGGCACTGGCGGCCAGCTCCCTGAGGCAGCACAAGGCACTGGAGATCCGCCCTCCCAAGCTGCCAACCCAGGCCCTCTCCAAGCTCATTGTGGAAGCTGTGGCCTCCTGTTGGGCATTCCCCTACAAGCCCTCATGAAATCACTCATAACCACTGGCTATGACATGGCAAAGAAGAAAAGCCACTTCCGGAGAGTGCTCCAGGGCCTGGTCGCCAAGGGGGTCCTGCGGCATCTGAGAGGCACCAGTGCCTCTGGCTCCTTCCGCCTTGGCAAAGGGGTGGCAGCCTTGAACAAGAATGCGGCACCCAGGAAGTGGGGCCGGTCCCCCAGGGCTGGGCACAGGAGCAGGAAGCTGGGCAGGAAGGAGCAGAAGGGCTCTGAGGGTGCTGCAGAGGGAGCCAAGGCAGAAGTCTGCCCACCTGGGCAGTAGTAAGTCAGAGAATGAAAGACAGGTCCCGCATGGGCACAGTGTCATTACTGTGAGAAATACACTGGGGTTGTATTTATGCTCCTGAGTCCAGGCTCATCCTTTGGGGCTGGAGGGGGGACAAAGCTGAGACCTGTTTGATAACAGCTAAGAGAAGGGGGTAGAGATGGGACAAAGCATGAGCCCTTGCTGGCAGAGCCAAAAGGACATCTCATGGGCTCAGAGGACACCTCCGGTGAATGCCACCTCCAGCACTGGTGACTCTGAAGGCAGCATTCTCCCTTCAGTGTTGGCCCTCA